GGATATTCTTTTTTTTAAATCAAATTTGGAAAATTTTCAGTAATTATTTTAATGTCTTATTCTCTCTTCCCTTTCCCTTTGAGACTTCAATTACATGTATGTTAGATTTCCTGCTATTGTCCCTGAGGACAGGTCACTGAAGTGGGTTAATTTTTTCAAATCTCTCTTCTTTCCATTCTCACATTGGGTAATTTCTTTAAATTCATCTTCAATCTTTAGCAGTCACCAAACTAATGTTAAGGTCAATCAGTACATTTCAAAATTTCAGATATTTTATTAATCTATACTAAAATCTCTATTTGGTTCTTTTCTTAGTTTCTGTTTTTCTGTTGAGATTCTCATCTCTTCAGTTATTATTACTATCTTTATCTCAAGGGCCTTGGACCTATTTTTCATAGCTTCTTGAAAATCTTTCTCTACCAATTCCAACATATGAGTCATCTTGGTGTCTGTTTCTATGGCTTGTTTACTTTCTTAAGTATGAGACTTATTTACCTACTTCTCTGCATGTGTATTAATTTTTAATTTTATGCCAGACATTTTGGTTGAAACTTTGTAAGGAATCGGGATTATGACATCATCCCTGTAAACTTGTTGATTTTTTTTGTTTGTTTGTTTTTCCTATCAAACAAATAGTGTATACTCTTGTTCTTGTCATGCTTGGCTTTAGTCTTTGTTAGGGCAGATCTCTTTTGGCTTAATCCTAAGGTGTGGCCCTTTCTAGAGGTCATGGTCCTTACTCCTGAAGCATGACCTTTCTGGGGTCTCAACTGAATGCCTGAGGTACTCAGTGAGGTCTCTTCACACTGTCACTCCAACACGTCTCATCACTGCTGGTCCTCTCATATTTCCACTTAGCACTTAGTCCTGCAGCAGGCAATCTCTGCTACATGGAGTCTCACTGCTCACATTGGCCAAGAACCTATAATATATCCTCATGCAGATTTCTGCCCCTATCCCCTCATACTGCCACCTCTTCTTTGGCCATTTACCCTATAAATTACAGCTTATTTTTCATCCTAGTATTCTAATCTCGGCCTCCTCAGCTCAGTGAGACTACAATTTAACTTGATATCCATCTCCCTGAATTAGGGCAGGAAAATAACCCCAGCAAAAAACTGAGAAAATTGTGGGGCTCACCATATGTATTTCCCTTCTGTCAGGGATCACGGTTCTGCTGTGACCATTATCCAATGCCTAAAAATAGTTGCCTCATATATTTTGTCCAGTTTCAGTTGTTTACAGTAGAAAGACAGGTCCAATACCGGTAACTCTGTCATAGGTGGAATGAAAAATTCATGGGTTTAGATTTAATTTTCACAAAACTTTGTGAAATAATATTTGTGAAGTAGGTACTATAATTATAACCCAATATTAAATAGAGAATTAAACTCAGGCTAACTAATGAGTGGGGAGTCAGAATTTAATCCTAGACAGTCAGATTCCAGACTCTGCTCTGATTCAATATACTATACTGCCCCTGCAACATGAAATTATGTTTATTTCCTTCATAGCATTTATCATATTCTTTTTTCTCATATATTTATTAATATTTATTTGTTTTTTACAATTTGACATTTCTCGTAATGTGTATAATACATTTCCTGTTTACAACTGCTTTCCCACTGCATAGCACAGGGTTTTGGTAGGCATTCAATAAATATTTGTTGAATGAATGAATGAATGAATGAATGAATGAATGAATGTAGATGCCACCATTATAAAACAATTTTGAAAATAGGATGTTTTCTATATATTTGGTATTTTAGATTTCATTTTGCCTTCTACCTTGTGGCATCAAAATTCTGCAACAAAAACAAACAAGAATCTACAGATGAGGAACATGCAAAAAAGTGATATGCACCATTAAAATCTTTACAATTATATACATCAAAATATAATTATAAGATAGAAAAAGTTATAGCAGGATTTCTATTCTTGATAAGATAGCAGTAATTAGAAATCTATCTTAGGAATATTCAAAACACTTCCTAATAAACAATGGCACTAGTCTGATGAGGTAAGCAAGAGTTGATGTGTTTGACTGGTGAAGCTAGGCATAGCTTTTGGTTGAAGTAAAAAATAACAAAAACAAAGCATGATAGGCATATCTGCCACTTTGGACATGTTATTAGGAAAAACAATTGTTAATAGTTGTTTCTAGAGCCTTTATATCACTTATTATTATATTTTAAATAACAATACACACCTGATTGATTTCAAAATGTATCTTTGTTGAACTTCAAACCATAAAGTTACGGCTCTTGTAATCTTGTAGGTGACATAACAATATGCACTTATTTTTATAAGAAGCAAAACTACAGATGATTTTTAAGCTAATTTTTGTGCTAACAAATCTCCTAAAGATATGCAGCAGACCTCACATTTACATAAAATTAAAGAAAGAATGCTTAGCAAATGCAAATAAATGCAAAAAAGGAATATTTTAATTTTGATTCATGATTAGTAGCAACCATCACAAAGTGGTAATAATACAAAAGCAAAATTCTGCATTCATTGTATAACTAATGGTTGTAAGCTATTTATAGATTGAGAATTCTGATTAATTAATTTATTTTGAGAAACATATTTATTGATTATATATCAGACTCTGTTTTAAAATCTGAGATCTCTAAAAACACTTTAATATTAGAATCCTATGCACTGACTTCTGCAGTATGACAAGCCCAGGAAAATGATTTATCTCACTTGGTGCATTATTAATTGTATGAATTGACTGTTTAACCTCTATTGATTTGCATTTCTTACTTAATGTTCAACTTAGAAACAGAAGCAAAAATTATTTTACAATAGAAAAAAAAGATGAAATTTAATCCAAGTGTAATATGTAAGATCATTTTAATATTCACCATTATATATCCTCCTCTCAGCAATTTTCAAGTATTGAAAGAGTGCTCTTAGTTTTTTTTTTTTAAAGATTTTATTTATTTATTTGACAGAGAGATAGACAGAAGAGCACAAGCAGAGGGAGTGGCAGAGGGAGAGGGAGAAGCAGGCTCTGCACTGAGCAGGGAACCTGACGCGAGACCCGATCCCAGGACCCTGAGATCATGACTTGAGCCGAAGGCAGACGCTTAACCATCTGAGCCACCCAGGCACCCAGAGTGCTCTTAGTTTTAAAACAAGAGTTGCTAAATCTAAATCGTGAACCTATTGAAGTTTATCTTGGCATTCTTAGGACCGGTAGCATTTTATTGTTTCTTATATTTGGATTGCAGTGGAATTTTTTACTTATGTTCATTAATTATTTTTATAACACTGAGTTGAGTTTTGACATGACCATACCATTTGGAATTCTTTTATTATTAAAAATGATTTAAAAGTCCATCAAACCATTCTGATAGCCAGGAGATATTTTCCTTAAAATGCAGGCCATGTTGGTGATCTTTTTTATGTGTGGTGAAAATCATGGAGGTGATAAATAATTACTTTCAGTGCATCTCAATTTATTATTGTTTACATATGCCTATAAATTTTCTGGGTCAGTTCAAATTTAAAATATTTTTCCCCTTGTGATCACAAGTCACCCAAGTAGCCCAGAAATTCCAATATTTTGACATATTGAAATATATGTTACATTTCCAATACTGGTCCTTTTAAGTGGAAATGGACAAAAATTATTTGACGGACTGTATGTCTCGATACTGGGTTTGGAAACTATAGCTGCATAAAATGTTTCCAGAAAGTATAGGTTTGATTTTTTTTTTTTTTTTTTGGTGTCAAAGAGACTCTGCCTTTAGGTTCTGTAGTTTACTTAAGCAGGAAAATTTCTTTCAAGAAGGTTATCTTATGAATTTCAAAGTGATTTTGTTGTCTGCAGGTCCTTGATGGCAAGCTTAAGCCTACAAACTCGAGGTCTCCTTATGAATGTGGAGAATCTTGGGTAGATCTTTTATATCCTCATGGATGTGGAGCTGTAAATGTTTACCATGTTGGCAGATCTCCCACTCATGAGATGGGTCTTAGTATAACTGATAGCTATGTTTCCTAGTGGTTATTAACAAGGCAGGCATTATGTTTTCATGTTCAGATTAGTTTTGTTATTTGTATCCAAAAGAAGTACAGGACGTCTGAGATCAGAGAATAGACAAGACAAAGTTCTAGGTAAATTGTTCAAAGTTAGGCAGGGAGGGGAGGAGGCATCATAATTCTAAGGAAAAAGTTATTTGAAAGGTGTAACAATCATTTGTATCTTTGCTGTAGATTAAACTGAATATTACCCACGGTAAGAGCAAGGCCTTTAGGAAACAGGACATATGAGAGGTATATGTTTATAGAAGAAAAAGAGGTCTGTGACACTACATCGAAAACTAATGATATAATGTATGGTGATTAACATAATAATAAAAAAGTAAGTAATAAACAAAACAAAAACAAAGCCATCCCCCCCCAAAAAAAAATAGAGAAAAAGAGGTCTGGGTAGGCTTGGGGATTCTAGGAAGCCACAAGATAACATAATGATACAGACTTCTGAAGAAGGATAGAAATATGAAAAAGAAATCCTTACAGACAATGATAAGTGTTTTGCACCTTTGGACAGCTGTCACACCTACCCTTGCATATCATCCCGTGATTCAGCTATCCTGTCACCAAATAAGCCATGAACATCAAGTTTCTGCCTGTGGTTTACAGTCCAAATTTCCTTCTGCCATTCTCCAGATCGTGTGCAGTTTTGGAAATCCTTCTCATCCCTTACTTACCTTATTCACTCTCTCTTCTCTTGCTGTAATAATTTGCTACTCCAGTTACCTGCCTTTTTATCTTACCCTGCATTATGAGTAATTGTTTATGTGTCTGTTCCTTCCATTAGGTTTTGAGATGCCCTTTGTGCTCCCAATGATTGTCTAGCTTAACATAAATCAAGTAGTAAAGTTTTGCCTTTAAATTTAAATGAAATGGAAGTTGATTATACAAGCTCACATAGTGCCCTCTGCTTGCATGAACAGTATTTACTTGCAGTTATTAATACTTCATTTTACCTGTGTGCATGATTCAGGGCAAGGTCGGGTTTCCTCATGCGTAGATAGCACGTAACAAGCTTTGTCTCGATGAAACTTGCCACACTTGCTATATCTTCAGCAGATGCTTCAAATGGTTGTCCCAGAGCTGCCCCTTTGCTGCAAAGCTTAAAAAAAAAATAATACTTTAAATTTCCTAATAATCTTGGCAGGTAGTTGATCTTTTATATAAGCAAAACATGTACATGTATGCATCCTTTTTCCAAACTACAAGGTAAACATTAATATTTTGATTATAAATTAAATAAGTTGTTCCTGTTCACCATTATGTGACTATCATATAAAATAAGTAACACATTTTACTGTAAAATGCTTCCTGTAAAATATTTTAAAAGCATGATATATTTTAAGTGGGTGCCATTTGTTAAGAATGTCTGTTTTAAAAATAAAGCATACAATAAGCAAAGATATTAACAGAAAACCAGGTGTAAATCATATTAAATACCAGTGCTTTTATGAAAACCCAGCTGAGCAATGATCTAGCACACTATCAAGTTTGATTTAATATAATAAGGGGTATCAGAAGTAAACTCCTAGGAACCATTAACATGATCAGTGATTAATTTGAGTCTGAATCACATTCTCTAAGATGTTATTGAAAGAATAGAAGTGAAAATTTATTAGAATTTATTGGCAGATGCCACAGTATCTGAAAAACATGGCAAGAATGTGGAATTCTTAATAAAAATTCCAAGAAGTCAATGGTTTCTGGGCACCATAGATAAACTGTAGATGAAGAAGATAATTAATTTTTTAGGAGAACCCCAAACATTAAGAAGTGTTAATGACAAGGGTAGATTGGCACTTTATTTTCCCTAGAGTTTTCTACTGTTCCTTGGAATTAAGGCTGATGCAGAAGATGAAGCCCCGCTTTCTGTTTAGTGACCTTATTCAGAATATCTACATTTTTGCACTTTCTATCTCCATCTGACCATATACTGGAGAAAATTTTCTCACTGGGGATAGTAATATTTGGAATTAATACCTATTTATATATACCTTAATATAAAATTTCTTGTATTCTAAACACTGTTTAAATGATATAAACTAATTTTTCTTTTATAGATTAAGTTGAGATTGGCTTGCCATTTACATTAACATTATTGTCAATTATTTTTTAAAGTGAAATTCGTTTGAGAATGACTATATTCTGTTCTAAAATGTATTTTTCTTCTTAATTTCATACAAAAGCTGTAAGATAAAATAAAATCTAGAATCTAGATGTTTAATATCATAGTTTAAATTGGTAGTTACATGATACTATTATTTTTTGCTTGGATATCCTGTCAATTGTGAGAATTCATATCATTTAAAAGTCTTTCCCAATTTGATAGGTGAAAAATGTTGCTTCATTTATTTGGTCAATAAATATTTATTGAATCTAATACTAATCGCCAGACAAAAATTACTGCCTTTACATTTTAATTTGCATTAGATAGATCTTTTTAAAATGAATTTTGGCTAGGTTTAGCTCTGTGTAAATTCCTGTTTTTTATTCCTTGCCTATTTCCATTGACATGCTAATTTCTTATTAATTTAAGAGCTCTTTAGACATATAAGCTATTATCCCTTTCTTCTTTTTTTTAAGATTTTATTTATTTATTAGTAAGAGAGAGAGAGCACAAGCGGGGGGAGCAGTAGGCAGAGGGAGAGGGAGAAACAGGCTCCCTGCTGAGCAAGGAGCCTGATGCGGGACTCAATCCCAGGACCCTGGGATCATGACCTGAGCTGAGATGCTTAGCCGACTGAGCCACCCAGATGTCCCTATTATCCCTTTTCTTGTAACAACTATATATATATATATATAATCAAACATAAGAGTCTTTCAAATTATCTTTTAGAAAATAGTCAAATTTTATTCATGTTCTTAAAAGGATCCTCAGAGTCTATATTATAAAACTCTTTTCTCAATTATTCTGGGAAAAAAAAGGAAAGACTATTTGTGGATGACCTCAATCAATGTTAAGTTTGGATGTTTTATAAAGATTACCTGATTAATTGGTAATAAAAGAGACAAAACATTTAACACTGATTTAGTAACTATTCCTGAGTCTGACCCTCACAAATATCAAGGTGGTTATAAAAAGATCTTGAAATATAATTTAAGAAAGCACTGTAGTGGGGCACCTGAGTGGCTCAGTTGGTTAAGCATCTGCCCTCAGCTCAGGTCATGATCCCAGCTTCCTGGGATAGAGTCCCGCATCGGGCTCCTTGCTCAGCGGGGAGCCTGCTTCTCCCTCTCTCTCCCTCTGCTTCTCCCCTCAGCTCCTGCTTTCTGGCTCTCAAATAAATAAAATAAAATCTGTAAAAAAAAAAAAAAGCACTATAGTTTGATCATAGCAGCTTGGGACAGCATCAGCATCTCCCCTCTTTTAGCAATCTGATCCTATAGGACCCAGAAATACCTAAATAGACAATTTTTCAGAAGAAAAGATTTGTGAATAACTCTTTATAAAGCCCAAATCAGTAGAAAAACAATGAGTAAAATTGTGTTTTGTTAGTATATCAAGTCATTAAAATTCTAGACCTTCTTGATTAACTTGATCTTCAAAATGAAATCAACACTTTTTTCAAGTCTCAAATACCCAAACCTCCTGAACTCATATAAAATCCTACACAAATAAAAAAGATGCAAATAAGACACACATTGTGTGCATACTTTGTCCTTTCCTGTCGTGTTCTTCTCTGATGTGATGGAGCAGATAAACCTTCTTTCTCAGGCAAACTCTTTGTGGGCCATTCAGAAAGTCAAGGAATAACTTCCATGAGGGCATTCAGATCTTACATGGCAAGAGGAAGCAGACCTTCAGATTTAATAATATTAAAGGCTTTTTCCACAAACACTGAGAGAAAGTGAAGAATAAATGCCTGATCTTCTAACAACTGCAGTATTCTCTACCTCTATAAGATTGAAGGCCAGGAAAAGAATAAAAATGATCAATCTTTAGATGTCTTTGAAATAAGCTTTGCAATACAGCAAATTGTTATCAAATATGCTGAAATTAAAGGTAGAATTAGAGGCAAATGTAGACAAAACACTGGTATCAGTATTGTTTAAAAATTCCAGATATTTTACTGAATTTTTAAATTTCCATGCAGACATTTGTACAGAAGTTAATTCTCTAGAAGATAAAGGATGTGTGAATTTGAATGTAGGAAGGGTGACTTTGTTCAACTTATTTTTGCCTAAAACTATACATGTAAGCCTTAGGTGAAATAAGTCAAGAACATAATGGAATAAAAACTTTTAAACTACCTGATAATATATCAGTGAGGAGACTTTGAATTGGGAAAAATTAATATTAGGTGTTAATTTTTTATTTCCAAAGGAAGACTAAAATATTTTTGAATGAAGCATGGATGGACAAATTAAGAGCATATTATTTAAGGGAAAATACAGTGAAGACTCTTATGGGTATAGCTGTAGTTTTAATGAAAAGCTAAATACTAAAATTTCAGTATAAAAAATTTCAATATAAAAAGTTTCAGTACAATATTTCAGTATAAAAAGTTTCAATATAAAAAGTTTCAGGAATAAATTAGAATCACAGGCTCAATTTTTAATTTATGTATTTATTTGATAATTTTCTGAAAAGAAGATAATAATACTTTGGAGTTATAAAATATTTTTTCTAAAGTATCTCACATGTCTTTTAAGAAATAAATATCAAAACTATTTTCAGAAATTGTGTCATAAAGAAATGTCAAAGTTTGTTTAAAAACACAGATAAAAATAACATAAAGCCCAATAACAGTAGAAATAACCAACATTAAATATTATTTTGGAGGTCCTGTTCTTAAAAATGCAACCATGTATTCTTTTTTAAATTAAGATCATCATTAGCAAGACTAATATTGTTAATAGGATATTGTATGATGAGTGTTTGCCCACTATATTTCTGAAACATAATTTTGAGTGATTCCTGAAGATCTAGGGAGGAACAATAAACTTGAAAAATGTGGCATTATTTTAGTTATCAAATATCTACAAATAAGAGTATATGTCATCCATCCAATAAGTAATTTTTAAGATTTTTATATTGTTTTTGGAATCACACACACAAAAATCTAAAGATAGAGAATAACTTACCCATAACCCTATCATAATATATAATTGCAATTAATTTATGGCTTATTTCTAATATCCCTGCTAATTACAGGTGTAAATATCTTCAACAAGATATTAGCAAACCAAATTCAATAATATATTGAAAGAATCGTACAACAACCAAAACCAAGGTTAGATACAGAGAGCAGATTGGTAGTTGCCAGAGGCAGGGGGTGGGGGTGGGAGAATGGGTAAAGGGAATCAAAAGGTACAAACTTCCAGTTATAAAATAAATAAGTCATGGAGGTGTAATGTACACCATAGTGAGAATAATTAGTAATACTATAGTGCATATATGAAAGTTGTGAAGAAATTAAATCTTTTTTTTTTTTTTTTTAGATTTTATTTATTTATTTGACAGGGAGAGACACAGCGAGACAGGAAACACAAACAGGGGGAGTGGGAGAGAGAGAAGCAGGCTTCCCACGGAGCAGGGAGCCCGATGTGGGGCTCGATCCCAGGACGCTGGGATCGTGACCTGAGCCGAAGGCAGACGCTTAATGACTGAGCCACCCAGGTGCCCCGAAGAAATTAAATCTTAAAAGTTATCACAAGAAAAAAATTCTGTTACTATGTCTGGGATGGATATTAACTTACTGTGACTTAAGACTTACTGTGGTGATAATTTTACAATATACAAAAATATCAGATCATTACATCACCTGAAACCATATCACCTAAACTGATATAATATTCTATGTCAATTGTACCTCAACAATAAAAAAATACACAGTGAAAAAAATTTGTTTTTGCATATTTCTTTCTATAATTTTCATGTTTTATATCATAATAAATTATATATTGTATATAATTTTTGCATCTTTCTTATATGCTTTGCTTCTTTTTATATGTTATCAATTACAAAACTAAAATGTATTAAAATATACCCATGTAACAATTATAGTTGGGTATTTCAATATCCCTCTCTAAGCAAATAATAAAAACACTAGAAAAAAAAATCACCAAGGACACAGAAGATTCAAACAACACAATCAACCA